AAATATACAAATTCCAGTAGTGGAAAACACCATCAAAGATTGCCAAAACAATATATTAAACAATTATAAAGTTGGTGGTGTCACAACAACATTTATGCATACTGTAACTGTGTCTAATGCCTTATTAAAGTTACAGCATGCATAAATATTGTTGTGACACCACCCGTTTTCTAATTGTTTAATATATTGTTTTGGCAATCTTTGATGCTGTTTTCTACTAGTGGAATTTGTATATTTGGGACTTCTGTGAAACTAGTCTTTTCCCCTTGTTGTTTGGATTCAATGAATTCGATGGGCTTAGACCCGAACCACTGCCCCCCAGGAGTCCCTGACACAGTGCCTGCCGAGACCCTCTCTGGCACCAAGTGTTTGTTGAATGTGGGTTTGGCCAGGTGAGGCTTTTCCCAGGAAGGGTTTCCCAGGAATACTGGCCAATATGTCGGCTATGCCGAATGGCTTCATTTATGAGTTGCTTTTTCTTACTTTAGTTTTCCTTCATTTTAGGGTCTGAGCACTCTTTCCAAAAGCTTGTACTTATATCTTAATGATATTACACAATACTCACATCTTAATAGTAGGATACTAGAGACCATAACAAAGGGTATAAGGCTTAAGTCAGGTGTAGTTCATTGAGCTATATAGAGTTATTGAAATGTTTTAGGTGTATATGTTTACACTTCGTTGTAATAGTGTTGAATGCATTAATGTTTATGTTTCCTGGTTTCTTCTGTATATTTGACTTATCTTTGAATAAAAAAAATTAACTAATTAAAAAAAAAGTCTGTGCATGCAGATTTTTAAAAAATATTGCTTCGGTAGCAGTTCCCACCACAGCACAAGGACTAAAGGAAAGCCGTGGAAGCCATTTTTTGGCCAGTTCTTCCTCCTCCAACACCCATTTTCGCCCTGGACCCACTGTCCTGTGCCAGAACTCCAAAGGTGCCTGTGTGCTCAAAAAGATTGGGGACCCCCGGAATGCACAGTCACATTGTTGTGTTCTATATGAAGCTCTTTTCCTCCACATCGGCTTCCAAAGTGCAGTCAGGTTTTTCACACGAAGCTGCCTTATACTGAATCAGATCGCTCGGTCTACCAAGGCTAGTCTAAGTGAGAGCCAGTTTGGTGTAATAGTTAAGAGTGGCAGACTTTAATCTGGAGAACCGGGTTTGATTCCCCACTCCTCCTCCACATGCAGCCAGCTGGGTGACCTTGGGTCAGTCACAGTTCTCTCTTAGCTGTTCTCTAACGAGAAGTTCTCTTGTTGAGAGCCAGTTTCGTGCAGCGGTTAGGAGTGCGGACTCTAATCTGGGAGAACCAGGTTTGATTCCCTCCTCCTCAACATGCAGCCGCTGGTGTGACTTTGGGTCAGTCACAAGTTCTCTCAAAAGCAGTCCTCAAAAGAGCTCTCTCAGCCCCACCTGCCTCACAGGTTGTCTGTTGTGGGGAGAGGAAGGGAAAATTGTAAGCCACTCTGAGACTCCAGTGCTTCGGGCACAGAAGTCTTTCACATTACCACCTACCTGCTCCTTTTAACTGGAGAAGCTGCCAGGGATTGAACTGGGAACTTTCTGCACACAAAGCACACTGCCCCCTGCACACCACGTTGCCTTCAGGCCTCCCCCCACCCCCGAAGCTCAGTACATTCTTTCCACCCTCCCCTTGGATCCAGCCTTGAGTTGCATTTGTTTGTTTTGTATTCAGGTATCCCTTCTCGCTTACTACACACTTGCCTTGTTTTAATGTGCGGCATTAGAATACCGACCACAAGAGCACGCGGTTCGCTCCTCTGCTCTTCCAACATAGAGGTCACGGTTTGCTATTACACCCCCCACACACACACACATCTGAGAATACATTTTGAGCAGATGGCCGGATAACCCGCCCGCCCAAACGCAGTTCAAAACGGCAGGCAAAAGAATCCCAGCCGCTCTGTCGCTCCATTATGAAAGTTACGCAACAGAAGATATGCACGTGTGTGTGTCGTCCCCCCCCCCCCCCCCTGGGGGGTGAAAATCAATTTCATCCCCTCCGCCCTGAAACGTTATAAGTAAACCATTCAGACTGTCTGGGTATTTTGGTCTTAAGCGCTGCCAGAGATAGGAACCTGGCACTCTTCCAGCTGGGGAACCTATAGTTTGTAACATGCTTGGCTCTTTCAAGTGGAGACTGGGTCTCTCTTTGGAAAGAAAGAGGATAAACACTGCCCCTTCATGTTTATCGGGGTCCTGTAGTTTGCTTTTGCTAGCTATGGAAGCTTTCTTCTTCTTTTAAACATGGTCTTCTGCTTGTTGTTGTTCGGCCCAGGAATTTTAAGCCCTGCACTAATTACAGTAAATAACTTTTTGAAGCCTGGAACCGCTCACTTGCCCTGGCATATAATTATAAAACCCCGGGCGTGCAAATGCGAGTCTTTGTTCTTTGCAAACTTTTTGTCTAAAAAAGCAATTCGGCAGAGAGTTCTTTGATATCATTCAAATGTCATGGTAAATACTGTGCCTCACATAATTCGAGGCTGCCTGTCTCCAAGTCACTTAGTAGAATTTCATTGTAGTGGGAAGGAACAAGGATCCGTTTCCAATAAATCAACTTATTATATGTGACAGAAGTAGCTGCTCAACAGTCCCAGGAATATTTAAAAATGCAATGCAGAATTCTTGGTTTATGGCTCTCGTGTTTGTTGTCTTTTATGGCTCTTTGCTCACAATAATTCTGGAGCCAGGTTTTGTTGGAAATGTCTCTGTGTTGCAAGGTCTAATTCAGTCATTATAAGGTTAATCTGTTTACCTTGTATGCTATTGTTTGGACTGACCTGGAAGGGAAACCTGGCACAGGGCCAATGGGAAGATAGCCCGGGAAACCTAAGTCTGTTTACTATCAATCATTGGTTAATGTATTCAGGTGATTTCCTTCTAGGGGTCAACAAGAAGAAGAATCTCCATTGTTGCTGTTGTTGTGAGGCCGTGTGGTAGGTCTGTTCTGTAGCTGTAGCTGCCTTAGGTCTTTGTTATTTTGTAGATTTTCCTGTGTTCCCATCCCTTAGAAATAAAGATTTGTACACAATAAGAAATGCTTCCTCTTCAGTGAAGCAAAGATCCATTGCAAACTCTGAATAGCTAAGTATTTTTGCCAATTTTTTCCAACAGGTTTCTGATCTCTCTTATCGGTTCTGGTTAAATGCCTCCTCTGGGATTTACAGTGCAATCTTGAACAGAGTTAACACTCTTCTAAATCTTCAAGGTGGTGTGGGGGGATTAATTTGATTTAGGACATCAATATTACAGTCCAGTAGATTCGAGCTACTGGATTAGAATCTTGCTCTTTTAACTGCATATCGACATGGCTACACACCCGAAACTTTCTGCTTTGGATGGCACTGTTAGGATTTCTGCTGTTTTGGGAGAATACCCTGACCTGCATCTCCTGGGATTCCTCTGCTTTGTGAAGATGATGTAGAACTTTACACAGATTAGGCCTGGGGAGATTAGCTCTCCACTCTGCCACAAGGCACGCTGGGGAAATCTTGCACCACTCACTCATCCTCTGCTTTGACTACCCCACGAAGTTGTTGTGAGGATAAAATGGAAGGCGCAAGAACCGCGGATGCAGCCCTGGGCTTCTTGGAAGATGATAAAAACGTAATAGAAGGATGTTATGAAGGATAAAACATGCAAGCACAACAGAACTGTGGAGAAGGGACAACGAAAAGTTTAGCACGGGTACGCCAGACGAAAGAGAAAAGTGTTCACCCGCTGGCGGGTGACAATGACCAAGAGAGACAGATGTTTCTCCCTGGGGAAGGATTTCCCAAGTTTTGGTACCATGACCAAGATGGCCCTGTTCTTGGATTGCCGTCCATCTAGCCTCAGAAAACCCCAAGTGGGTTTTACACAACAAATGTTGACAGTTCCCAGCGGACTTTCATCACAAAAGCAAGGGCACGGTCCACTGGAAAACCAACTCCGCAAGGCTGAAAGGACTCAATAACCAGCAAAAGGAATTCATCAAAGGTACCTTTTCTCCCCCCACCCCCCAAAAAAACCCCAGCATCACAAACAGCGTACTTCTGCAAGCTGAAGAAAAGGTCTTAAAATGTCTGTAATGTGGCAGTTTTACAACCAACATTGTTAAAATCTGGCCACTTCGCTCCCCTCACCAGGTAGATTCTCAGATCTCGGATGGAAGGGAGAAAACATTTGAATTCTACACAGCACCGAATTTTCAGGCAATACGGCAGAAGAATGCTGTTAACAAACATACCTTGATTATAAAAGCACTCCCACGACTATGCAATAACACAGAAACAAACGTAGGACCTTGTACTTCAACTGGCCTGCTGAGATAATCTCCATTTCAATCAGATTCCTAAAGGAGACCAGTCCCACTGAAAGAACTGGAATATGCTTCTAAGTAGTGTGTTTGGGACTGGAAAGCGAAAACAGCCATTTCTTCAATGGATGACTGAGTGCAAATCCAGGGGTCCCCAAATCTTTTGATCTTGCCAACGCCCTTGGAATTCTGACACAGGTGAGTGGGTGCAACTACAAAATGGCTGCCGTGAAATGTCAGGAAGTGAAGTTGTGCGTAACTTTGATAACAACACTTCAATATTTCGGGTATAAGTCCTGTTTAACAGGGTGCCTTTTTAAAATGAACACATCGTTTAAAAAGAGGCCCTTGCATACGCACAGTTTACCTGAAGATCCTAGTGTCTCCATGGACAATTGCCACCGAAACAACATTTAAAAAATTATGCTCAGCGAATCAGATCGCCGATGGCTAAAAACACTTGGCGTGTGCCATGACAGTTGCTGTTGACTCCATGTTGCTCATGGGCACCAAGTTGGGGACTCCTGGTCTAACCAGATACGAGCATTTCCATTGCTTCTCATGCTCTTCACACTTTACAATTAGGATCCCAGCTTAGACTGGGAAACATGCCTGTCTGGTTAGAGCCCTGGTCCCTGCATGGCTCTTGAGCTTTGCCGGGTGACGAAACTGACCTTGTCAAATACTCCAGTGCCAGTTCAGAACCGGACGGTTTTTTGATTTCTTCTTTTTTCTTGGAGACGATCCCCGCCTCTCGCATTAATTTCTTCTGCTCCTTCTTTCGCTCTTTCTTCAGCTTTCTTTCCAAGGTTCTCTTCTCCACGGCGGTCAGTTCCTGGTTCATTCCCCCTTCCTCCTCCTCCTCCTCCACCTCTCCCTGGAAGACAAAGTAATAAAACTCAAAACCATTATGAGAGAAAACCTGATAATCTGATGGATGGGGGTACGTGGGGAGAGACAACAGGTAAGCGGTGGAGAGTTTGGAATCTGATCTAGGCACAAAAATACATTTGTCCCCGAAGACTGGAGGTGGGGATGGGCACGTACTCTCCCCAATGCAATGTTGCCACCAAGAGTATCTCTCTTGTGGTGGTGGTGGTGGTGGGGAGTGCTGCCACGTCAAGACACAAATATGGTGACCCCTTCGGGTTTCCAAGGCAAGAGATAGTCAGAGGTGGTTTGCCATCGCCTGTCCCTGCAGAGTGACCCTGGACTGCCTGGGGGGCATTCTCATTTTTGTCACTTTTGTCTCTATGGCTTTGGGTTTCCCCTCCCCCCCCTTTCCACATGTGTTTATCCCTCTGGGACTACTAGAGAGAGCAAAAAACGCTGGGGGGGGGGGAGGAGGGAAGCCCTGAAGCAGCAGGAACGCACAAGTGATGAAAATCAGAATGCGGAAAAGCCCCCGGGGGCCTCCCACCCAAGGACAAACCAGGGTCGACCCTGCTTAGCCTCTGAGATCTGATGAGACTGGGCTACCCTGGGCCGTCCAGGTCCAGGGCATGTATATATTTATTTGAAAATATTTTGTATTTATAAGCCACTGACATTCAAAGCATTTTAAGTAAAAGGCACTCTGGGCTAGAGATGTGAAGGCCCAGGGAAAAAAACCGGAAAAATTCAGAACAAAAACCGCCCCCCCCCCGTTTTTTTCCTGAAGCCTTTTTCATTTTTTTTCAAAATTTTTTGGAAAAATTGAAAAAAGAAAAGAAAAGAAATTGATTATGGAACATTTTATTTTAACATGATGAATAAAATATGTTAAGACAAGGTGTTCAAATATTTTCCAAATTATTTCTAATATATATATATGGTATCAGATTGATCTAATTTCTGTGCACTGAGGACAAGCAAGTCCTAGGTTACAAACTGAACTCTCCAATGCAAGAACAAGATGCATTTCTTCCTTTAGGAGGTGCGATTGTCAGAAGAAAATAAAAAGGTTTCAGTTTTGTTTTTGCATGTGGGTGGGTATTCTGTTTGTAATAATTGTTTGGGTACACTATATTTTTAATATGCTAGTTGTGATAATTTCATGCCAAGTAAAAATGTCCATAGTCATATTTTATGTTCCTAAAGTAACAGAATGACTTTCAATCTAGAAAAGACAAAAGAAATGCTAATGTAGCATTTTTTTCAATTTTTCCGATTTTTCCGAAAACAACCCGGGTTTCCCCCCGAAAAAAAACACACGTTGTTTTTTTCTGAGCTTCAAAATTTCCAGAAATTTTACATCTCTACTCTGGGCACTGCAGCCAACAACCAGCGTGGTGTAGGGCCTGGGAGGAACGCAGGTCTCAATCCCCGTTCTGCTTGGTGCCAGTCACATGCTTTCAGCCTAACCTGCCCCACAGGGTTGTTGGGAGGATATCATGGAGGAGATAATCACAGAATCGTAGAGTTGGAAGGGACCTCCAGGGTCATTTAGTCCAACCCCCTGCACAATGCAGGAAGTTCACAAATACCTCCCCCCCCCACACACCCCCAGTGACCCCTATTCCACCCCCAGAGGATGACAAAAAACCTCCTGGATCTCCAGCCAAACTGGCCTGGAGAAAAATGGCTTCCTGACTCCAAAGTATTGATCAGCTTTTCCCTGGGCGTGTAAGAAAGGGCTATGAGAACTGAGGACTGATGCAACCCTTCTTGCCTTCCCTTCTCGTGATTTGCCTAAGTTCACAGAATCAGCATTGCTGTCCGATGGCCATCTAGCCTCCGTTTCAAAACCTCCAAAGGAGGAGAGCCCACGCCCTCCCGAGGAAGCTTGTTCCACTGAGGAACTGCTCTAACGGTCAGGAAGTTCTTCCTAATGTTTAGCCGAAGACTCTTTTGATTTAATTTCAACCCACTGGTTCTGGTCCGACCTTCTGGGGCAACAGAAAACAATTCCGTAGCATCGGTAATGATGCAAACAACTTTGGGTCTCCACTGGGGTGACACCTTAATTTTCAAATGCATGTTTACCACATTTGTCCTGTAGAAGTTAAGTGCATGCTTAGAACACCTTAGGTATACATGTAACACCCCCCCCCCCCAACACCAACTAAAGTTGCAAGGTGGCCTTAAATGTCGCATCGAGTACTTGCGGAGCTGTTGCTGGACCTTTAACACAATGTCGCCACACACCCTACATACACTCTCTCCTTATCGCAGCTGAAAGCACTGGACACAAAAACAGGAATAACGAGAAGGGCCTCATTCCTTACATACAACCAAACAGGTATTTCAGACAAGACGTCAGGTAACACATTCTTGAACCTGGTGAGACGTTCGCCCACTTTCTCATCGCTAATTGCTCCCTCTTCCCTCACTCGCACTTGGGTGTGGTATGAGAACCAGCCAGACTTGAAAACGGGGGTGGGTGGGGAGGGAGACCAAAACATGAAATTAAGAACTTGGGAGAAGCCAAGAACACAGTATTTAAAAACAATCGCTTGGTTTCCGTTGACAGCACTGGCCGCTGAGTCACTGGTTTAGGGGTGCCAGACCCCCTGGTGGAGGGTTCCACACTGCCAGACCCCACTGCTGATCCGCTGGCCAGCGGGGGGAACTTATCCCAAAAATTGGGGTGACGCTCTAGTATCTGGGCAAAACTCTATGGTAGAAGCCTAATTTACCATAGAGTTTTCCCCCAATACCAGAGCATCGTCCTGATGTGATGATGTCACTTCCAGGTCACATGGGCAGTGACGTAGGCACGTCCCTGCATGTTGGCTGGGCTTCCCTCCAGCTCCTGGTAAACTCCCCACCCCAAATCCCCCGCCGGTTGCCAGGAGGGACCTGGCAACCTGTGTTCCCTCTAAGCTGAGTTAGTGTGAGCTGGCTCAGTTTTTTTAGCCTCCAGCTCACACAGTTTTGTCTTCGCTCAGGGAGGATGGGCTCCAGAGCAAACTAATTTATGCTGTAGCCAAATCGCTCGCTCACACCTTTAATGCCAGTAGCTCACAAAGTAGAATTTTTGCTCACAAGACTCCACAGCTTAAAGGGAACATTACGTGGCAACCCTGGTCTGGTTACAGTGTCAGAGCTGGGTCTGGGAGACTCAAGTTTGAATCCCTACACTGCCATGGAAACTCACTGGGTGACCCTGGGCCCATCACATGCTCTCAGCCTAATCTACCTCACAGGGTTGTTGTTGTGAGGCTGAAATGGAGATGTAGAGAAAGATGCTGAAAACCACTTAGGGGTCCCCAAGTGGAGAGAAAAACAGGGCACACATGAAACTGGCTTATACTGAATCAGATCACTGGTCAATCAAAGTCAGTATTGTCTACTCAGACCAGCAGCGGCTCTCTGGGGTCTCAGGCAAAGGTCTTTTGCATCACTCACCACCTGATCCTCTTAATGAGAGATGCTGGGAATTGTGACCTTCTGCATGCCAGGCAGATGCTCTGCCAGTGAGCCACAACCCCTCCCACGTAGCATGCATAGGTATACATAGCTAATTAAATAAAATAAAACAGCCTAGAGATCAAGTATTAGGTCAATGCCACTCTTTGCACTTACACCAGAGTAGCACTGCAGGTTTTCCAGCAAACCAGGTGGGTTGTAAGCCTCAAAAACACGGCCTGCATATTTTTTTTAGGCAGGATGTTTTACACCTGAGGCCAAGAACAACTGGAATCTTGGACAGAGGTAGGAAAGCGGCCATCCTTATATGATTAGCAGCTGCTCAGGGAACATGGTTTATCGAAACCACAATGTGTGGTGGAAATGGGTAAAGAGAGCACCAAAAAGCGGCTGTCACTGAACTGTTTGTTAAAGTTTATCGTAACAGCAAGGCACACTCAACTTAAATCTTCGTTAGAAGAATCTAATGGATTTGTTTATTTTTATCATCATTATTTTGGCCTGTAACGGCCGAGCCTTTTGAATTCGGCGGACTGCGCTCCATCGCGAGAACGCTTCCCATAACAGCAGCCCTTCCTGCTGGCCTCGGAAGGAACAATGAGCACTTATCTAACTTCCCCCTCCCCTCCTTCACATTCCTCGCGTTATCAAAAAAACACCTCTTTATTTCCTCCAGGCGTTGTTTCATTTCTCTCCAGAATACATCCCTGCTGCTGGGCCCCAGTGGAAAATGACAAGGCACGCAAACGCGGATTTGTAAGACGATCACTCCTGCCCACCTAAGCCAGCAAAATGCTTCCCCCCCCTCCATTTCTTTAAAAAAACCAACCAGAGGTCAGTCCTGTGTTAAAAGAAGAATATGAACGTGCTATGGAGCCTCAACCAACTCATGGTGACCTCGATATGGGGAGGGGGCGTTCCAGGCAAGAGAGGAGCAGAGGCAGTTTGCCACTGCCTTCCACCCTCCAGCGACCCCGTGCCTTCCTTGGTGGTCTCCCATCCAATTACTAACCGGGGCCGACCTTGCTTAGCTTCTGAAGCTCTGATGAGCTGGGGTTAAGCCGGGCTATCCAGGTTGCTAATCCCGTGGTGTTAAGGGAGTCAAAAAGGTTCACCGTCAAGGTAAACCCTCCAAAAGAGCGCACGGAACAATGGAATCCTGTGCCGCCTGAGAATTTCAGTGCGACCAAAATAGTGGAGGGAAAAACACAACCCTGCACGAGAAAGGTCACCAAAAAGGGTGAGACCAAAAAAAGGAAGCTAAAATATAGCTACGCACGTACTGCTGATTTACAAAATATCGTATGTAATTTAATTACACATACAAAAGTCCTAAAATGTCTTTTTAAAACAATCAGTGGTAAAATTTAAGCCAAGCACTCCATAAATTTAACAGAAATATTCAGGGCTCTTTTTGTAAGCAGGAACTCCTTTACATATTAGGTGACACACCCCTAATGTAGCCAGTCCTCCAAGAGCTTACAGTAGCCCCTGCAAGAAGAGCTCTGTCTCTTGGAGGATTGGCTA